TCCTAAGATTGGGGCGAAGGTGAGAGAACAGTGAGATGTACATTGTTCTTTGGCTTCCTTTGGGGTTGAAGCTGGTGTTCAGTCAGGCCACAGGTCCTTCCTCCAGGCCCAGACTTGTTCGAAGCTTCCTGGCATTAGAAACGATTACTCACCTATACGCTGGTGAAGCAGGCCTGGACAGCTAAAGAGTTTGACAAATGGTCACGATTCACATGTCCTGGCTCCTTCGCAGGACTACAGACAGCCTCACTGCCCCTGTACTGTGTGTCAAACAGAATTCAGCTGACACAAGCCCACAGAAAGAGGGCAGTCTGCATCAAGCCTGGAACAGCCCTTCAAGTCTGCGCCTCAAAGTCGGAGCTCTCCATTGTACAGAAGGAAAAACTAACATTCAAGGAAGTACAGAGACTTCCCCCAAATCCCACAGCCAATTAATAGATGGGACTAGGGCTCAGGTCTCCTGACTCCCCCTGGGCTTGGCTCACTGGGCCAGCTGCTGCTACATCTGGGTAGAAGAATTTCACTAAGGAAGGACACAGAGGAAGGGCGGGAGAAAGGGGCACAGTGGGCAGGCGCTAAGGCTAGTGATGTCTTTCCGTTTTTAGTGTATAAATATTCTAAGTTGTTTTTGAAACTCTTCGATAGTTTTCTGAATTTTCCATAATGCAAGTCATGGACTCAGACAGACATGGATTCAAATTCTGACTCTCTGATTTATTTTATTATTATTTTATTATTTATTTATTATTTAAACACTCTAAGCCCTGGGTTCCTTATCTATAAAATGGGGATACATAACACCTATCTCATTTGGACATAGTGATGATTAAATGACAGAATTTATGCAAAAAATGTCTCAGACAAGAACCTACAGGCAGCACACACCATTCATATCAAGTTAAGAATGCTAAACATGGATCCAATTTAGAGGTCACCTTTGGACGAGGAGAAGGATGTGGTCACAGATACATGGTGGGGGCTTCAACTCCAGTGTAAATAGTTTCTTAAGGTGAGTGCTGGGTATGTGGGTGTTTGCTCTGTTACTCTTCATACCATTTTTGTTTCAAATATACTTTTAAGAAATTTACACATAGGGAGAAGTTAATCAATGAACAGCTATTATTATAATTTTTATTAGTCAAAAAGCATTCCATTCTTGCGGGGTGGGGTACAGCCTAGCTTAGTAGTGGAATGCGTGCCTAGCATGAGCAAGGTCCTGGGTTCAATCCCTAGTGCCTCTATTTTAAAAAAGCAGTCTTTATTCCATTCTTATTCCATGTGGAACACCGTGCTGGGCACAACAGGGGATGCTAAGTGAGTAAGATGCATCCCCTCCAATCTAGATTAGAGCCTCCACTCTGGCAGGGGTTGCAGCACCCACTTTACACGAGTAACACTGGGCAGAATGCAGTAAGTGACCTGAGGGGTAAAAAGAAAGAAGAAGAGACACCGTAACTGCTTGGGAAGACTTTCTAAGACTTCATCATCTGGGTGGCAACTGAAATGGGCCTTAAAAATTGAGCAGAATTTTCAGCAGTAGAGAAAACAAAAGATGTCTGGCTAACAATTACGTGATTGACAGAGGCACCAGAAGGCAAACCAGCATGATTAGACTAATCACGGGCATGGAGACTAGAGAGTGTGAAATCAGAGGCCAAGGAAAGAGGAAATGGGAAATAAGGCACGGATGGTCAGCACAGAGGTAGCCTGTGTATGCTGGGAAAAGAGCTGCGGATCTTTCTCTTGTAACTTGCAAGAGAGCAGATTTCATGTGATCACACAAGGGGAAGGAACCAGATCTCATGGTGAGTGGGAGGTGAAGGAGTGGGGGTACAGCTGACTACTCTTTAAAGACATTTGTGCCTGAACAAAGGAAAGCAAAGGCCGGCAGCTGAAGAACATGGCAATTATCAGAGAGCATTTTTAGTCAGCATATATCCAGAGAAAGGGCAAACCAAGCGCTAGTGGGACAGAGAGACAATACAGATGCAAACCAGGCGAGGGACAAGCATTCCCCTTCAGGTACAAGGTTCCAGAAAAAACAAAAGTTGCAAGGTCAAAAACCTAAGTGGCAATGTCAGACTGGCAAATGAGCTGAGATTAAAAATTGGTTTTCCTGAACTAACGAGTGTCCCTGGTGCGTTTTGGAAAAGGACTGCAGGTGCCCACGCACACAAATGCAGATGTCTTCCTGCACTCTGATCACACACCCCTTCGGGCACTATTGCCACGGGGTATGAAATAAAACTTGAAAACCAGTGTTTTAGGATAGAATAAAGGATTTAGTTGAGGGGAAGGAGGTGGCTGTACAAAACTTTTTTATTAATGAAAAAAATGACACGAAGAATGAAGTTCTTAATAAATTAATAATTAAGACCATCTGGCCGTATGATTTCATCACGTTAAGATTTCAAACCAGCCACTATGGAAAACGGCCTGGCAGTTCCTCAAAAAGTTAAATGTAGAATTTACTGTATGACCCAGCAAGGCCGCTTCTAGGTATTTACCCAAGAGAATCGAAAACATAGGTCTGTACAAAAACTTGTACACAAGTGTTCATAGCAGCATTATTTCTAAGGGACACTTGGAAACCACCCAAATGTCCATTGATTGATAAATAAAATGTAGTATATCCATACAAAGGAATATTATGCACCTACAAAGAGGAATGAAGGACTAATACATGCTACAACAGGGATGAAATTTGAAAATGTTATGCCACATGAAAGAATCCAGATGCAAAAGGCCACATATCGAATGATTCCATTTATACAAAATGTCCAGAATAAGCAAATTTATAAAGACAGATTAGTGGTTGACTGTGGGGATTGGGGGCTCGGAGGGGGGAGTGGGCAGGGAGGGGAGGGCAGCAAGCAACTGCTAATGAGTATGGTGCTTCTTTTCAGAATGACGAAAATATTATGAGTTAGATACTGGTGATGACTGCACAACTTTGTGAATATACTAAAAGCCACTGAAGGTCACACTTTAAAAAACTTTCAAACTAGACCTTGTCATGACCTGGGTAGGAAAGAACACAGGTACCCTCCCCCAACACATATCACTACCCGACACGTCCATTCATAGGCTGATCTTCTTAAATATTATACTGAAATGATGCCAGAATGACACTAAACTACAAAAGACCAGTTCACTCAGATGCACGTGCTCAGAAGAATAACAGTGATAATCAATAGTAACTAAAATGTACAGAGTGTTTACTGTGTTCAGACACGACCAAGCACTTTAGCTCATTTCATTTCTCCCTGCATCCCTAAGGTATGCACTATTATCATCCCCATTTTACAGATGAGGAAATTAAGGCACACAAAAAGTTGCATAACCCGTGCCAGGTCACCCAGTTGGAATTTAACCCCTGGCAATCTGACTCATGAGCACTATGCTATTCTGCCCCAACTGACTCTTATCTTCTTAAAATCATTTGCAAAATTCACTGACTTACAGTGTAAAACAAGGCAGGAGAGGGTGGAGATTTTAAAACAACCAAAACTATTACCTCAAATAGTAATCCCAGACAGAAAACCAGAAAGACCCAAGGCCCTGGGGATGAGATCAAACTGAGGGCTGCATTTCATGTGACTATGAATTACTGACAAGTTGAGTGTACGACCTAAGCATGAAATTCGATTGGTGCCCACTACTTTTTAAGACTGGGAGTAGATTACTGGGTTTCTCCCTGCCCAGAGCAATCTAATAATCTAAGTGGGAACACCATAGCAAGAGCACACAAAAACATGGTATATTCTGTGTATGACTTTATACACATAAAGCAAACAGGACATATATGTTTACATACATGTGTGCTCACTAAACAGTGAGGGGCAGATGGCAAGTTAAAAATCCTATGTCACAGGAGAGAGAGATGAATATGGGCAAGTCAAAGAAGACTGCTTGAGGGGACCTTGAGAATTAGCATTTAGGAAGGGGCAGGAAGGTTAAAGGTCACTACTTGAAACAAGCTTAGAGAGAATAAGAAGGTTGGATTGTTCCTAGAGCAGTAAGGATGCCTGTCTGATTAGATCAAGGAGTGTGCAGTGTGTAATGTACCAGATAATAAGAGTGGACAGGCAGGAAGGGGTTATGTAAGATCTCAAAAGTCAAGGGAAGTGTTTGAACTTGACAGAGTAAGGAAAGGTAGCTCATGCTTTTTAAAAGTTGTGAAAGCTTTATCATATTAGTTGCATACTTCATAAGAAAAGCTGGCTTCAAAGTTTGGTTACCCAACCCTGGAACTCTGCCTCATCTACTGTTTCCTAATTTCATTTAAAATATTTCGCTTCTGTCATATCTACCCTCAAAGAACAACCTAGTGTAACCTTAATTTCAGCAGAGTCCCGATATAAACTAATTGCTGACAAACAGAGCCCTGAACAAAACTGTGTTGTATGGTGCCTTCACAAAGCCACTCAGCACTTGTTAACATGCATTACATTTCCTCACACTTCATAGCTTAATCTGTAATGCATCAACATCCCAGTGTACAGGCTGTTCCTTGAGAAAAATACAGTTTTTTTTTACACTGTGAAAAGTATTTTCTTGTGCTCAGTCACTGAGATTTGTCTTCTTCAGTAATAAAATTGAATGCAAACGTATCCAACAGTTTTCTGAATGAAACAGAAATTCAGTTGCCTATTGCACTAAAGTATGCCTATGAAATAGTCAGTTATAGATGTATTCAATCGGACTCCTATGCAAACTCCGCTCCGTAGTTTCCTGCCCGGGCACTGCACCCAAATTCTTGGCATTTTCCACAGATATCTGCTTGGTTCTCTGGTGGCTCCGAGGATTTGTGCTTTCGGGCAAAATTTTATCCCAAGGAGCAGGACCTCCTGTAAGGGACCAAGGGGCTTAGTCTGTGCCTCAGCATGACCTTAAAGCCAACGCACTTGCCCAGCTCGAACGAGCACACGGGTACCCCGACTCCGCGGCGCTCGGCAGCGCCCAGGGATCCCCAGATCGCGGCCGGGGCGCGCACCCACCTGACCAGCGGCTCCTTCTCGGGCACAGCGGGCTCCTCCAGGCACTTGCACGGGCAGCAGTAGCAGCACACGATCCTCAGCCAGTCCCGCAGCCCCATGGAGAGCGAGGTGCCCCGCAGGCGCCGGGC